ATAGTACATGTAGTAGTAGTAATCACAATAGTAGTAATAGAGTACCATTGTAGGAGCAATAGGAGAACTAGTAGAATTAGTAGTATTACTTTTATATATTGATGATAGTATTTCGGTTTGATTTTATTTCTTAAATTTCAAGAAAAAATTGTACTTTGTTAATTATTCAGAGATTTACAAAAGAAATATTCAAACTAGCAAAATAAAAGGGATATAAAACGCTACATTATTAGCATGAAGATTAATACATAGTACAAATGAAGCATGTTATCGCAATGTCTTGTTAAGACCTCTTTTTTCTCTTTACCGCAAAGCATGTGCCCAATAGCTCCTTGACTGTACACGTAGGCCTAGAAGTTGAGTTTTCAAAAGTATATGTAATATGCAAATAATATGCCTTGCTATTAGTTCATTTTCTCTATAGGGATGCGTTATACCCTCTGTCATTTGGTAGTATTTCATTAATTCGAAATTATTAATACGAAAGAGGTAAGGTAATATTACCTTTGAATTAACATTTCTGATCCTCAAAACGTAGTTTGTTGTTCATTATTTCCTCGGGATTTATGATCTTTCTTTCATGAATGAACAAAAAAAATCGTAATAGTATAATTGTACTTATCAGTTATTTTTTAGACAATTTTTTGTTGTTATCTGGCTGTTCTATTTTATATCACTTGTAGCATGTTAGAATAGTGAACAGACCTCACTTTAGGTTTGCTTGTTTTTTCATTTGTTTTTTGTAATGATAACTTCATAAGGAATTGAAAGTACATGGCAGTAAATTGTTTCTGTTTCAACTTAACGAGCTCATAGACTTTTATTACTGTTTTGTATTTCAGCATTTTAGTATGCTATATTTGCTTCGCTTTGTGTTTTGAATGAATACCAGGTATACGGGACAGTAAAATCATGTTTATGTACTGAAGTCTTAATGGACCATACTAGGCAGAACATAAGATAGGATCGTCAATATTTACTACAATTGTCAATTGTATTCATCTTACTGAAATTAAAGTTAAAATCTAGAGTTGATAATTTCACATTTTATATGGTTTATGTAGGTAATCGCCGCATCACCAAGAGTGCACGGCGTAGAGCATCAATACACATTAAGTGTATACCTTATACTTTTAACTGATTTCTATGACATCCATTCTCAGAAGGTCTTGTAGATTGCCTAACTGACCCTTTAGGTTTTTCCACGTAACTTTATTTTATTTCACATATATGAAACGGAGACTAAAGGGACTGAATTACCTAAATGTGTGTGAATGATATTAATTTTAATTCTTAACGTCTTTGCGTTCGCTTATTGTGCACTAATGCTGTTCAATGCACTTTCCTGGTAACATTTAGAAAAAGCTTCGTTTAACCAAAAATGATCGTAGCTTTGTGATTTGTATTCGAATTTTATGCTTATTTCACGGAATAATTTATAAGGGGCTACTTTTACAAATTTACCACTGAAATTTTATTCATGATATCTGAGTACTTTTTAACATGTCGCCAAACAAATTCTCGTTTCATTTTGTATAACGATACCCTGTGGATATGTATAATAATATAAATGTACATATAAAACAAGTTGAAAATTGATAAAGGATTTTGTGAAACGTCTGAAAAATTCGAAGCTCTAGACTTTTCACAGAGTCATTTACACCTTGGCCATTTTCCGAAGTATTCCGAAGAAGACTATTAAGTTTAGAACACCTTTTACCCTCTCTCCCTCTTTATATATATATATATATATGATTGCATTTACATCACTTTTGTGTAAGTTTATGTGTACGATATTCATTTGTTCCAAAACACTTCAAATTTCGATGTATTCTATCATTTTGCATTGTTAGTTTGATACCTTAGTCAGGCCAACGGGACTGATACCAGACCGAACAGGACATTACATTACCCCTGATTGCAAAGACAGTTTGGAGTTGGTTTGACGGTGTCACGTAGGTGTAAATAAGTAAATGTACCATCAGCTTCTGGATTGTGCCTAGATTCCGCTAGAGAGTCAAATACATTTGATTATTGTACATATTTTAGACGTTTATACCTTTCTTAAGATAACGTAAACTCTTCTACATTTTTGTGTTTTAAGGTTCATTTGTATTATCACATAGCATCTTATCCAAACTTTATTTAGGATAAGTCTCTTTATTAAAATGAATTTTCAAGAGCTTTGAGGAAAAAACATATTCTTTCAATAATTCGCTATCGTAATTTCAATTGCTTCTAGATTCACTCTCTTTCTCTCATGAATTAGTTTCTATGAATGGAAGAACTCATGCGGATTGATTATTATAATGATATTTAATAAGTTCAAATCCCAAATGAACACCGTTTTGTTCACTTAAAAGAAATGAATACAAGACCATAGCAAATGAATATTATCCGTTTCAAGATGATTCGAATCCTTGGTGTATTCTGAAGGTAACATACTGAAATGGTGGACAATGATCTAATAGATAACGTCTTTTGAAATGCAATGATTCACATACTTGTTGACTGTGTTATGGAGAATACAAGCACACAAATTATATTTTACATTATGCTCCTTGTATAAACGCAATAAAAAACAAAATCAATCTTTCTTCTAAACATGTTAAAGGTGAGTATTTGCCGTGATCTGTATGATGCCTGTTTATATGATGAATTCAATTGTCAAGGTAATTATCTCACCAGTACCACATCATGACCATCATGGAAATGAAACGTATCCCTTTAAATAGGGGTATAGGCAGGTCGGTGAGGCTTCGGCTGTGTTGGGTCCAGGATTAGGGCAGGAAATTAGTAATATTGATAGAATTCGGGCAATTGTCATCGAAATATTTACTACCAGAAGTCAGTCAATTTGTATTGCTGTAAAGAAGTTTCTATTGAAATTATTTGACGGCCAGTTACCCAATGTGTGAGAGGATGTAGGGAAGCACGTGCGTGTGTGAGGATGTGTGCGTGTGTGTGTGTTAATAGTATGCGTGTTAATAGTGTGCGTGTGAATATGTATGTGTGTCTCGTTTTTTTTTTTTTTTTTTTTTTTTTTTAATAGTTATAATGACCAATTAATTCGTTAATGACCAATTGATTCGTAGATTTCGCTAATTATAATGATGTTTCCGTTTTTAAAGGAACGGTTTTTACGAACAGCTGAAACCAGTGCCTCAGAGTGAGTCCAGATAATGAATGGCTGATAGAGATGTGGGGTGTGTATGTGTGTTGGGGGGTGCGTCTTGCACAATGTGTATGAAATAAAGAGAATCAAAACACCTGAGCTAAGGGAGAATGATATTGTATTACATTATTTACGTTAGTCCAGATTCTGTCCTTTTTTAAACATTTTGTGTTTTTCAATCATCAATTTAAACGCATCTGACACAGTTTGCGCAACCCCTTAAACACCCGTCGAAGGTAAGAATGAAAGGTGAGGACTGTCTCCGTTTTTGGCGGTGAGGTTGTGTTATTTTCTCAGCTAATTTGGGCATGCGACACGGGAACAGTCCGGACGGTGAACTGCCTTTACATGTATATACTCATGCTCCATTCAACTTCTTTTTTTCTCTCTCTCTCTCTCTCTCTCTTTCCCCTTTTTGTTTTCCCTTGTCTTCTACCATTCGACTAGAGGGGAACACGTGCGTGACACCTTTTCATTCCACATTCCTTCAGAGGAATCATTTTGATGTGTCATAGTTTCCTATTGTATCGCCTAAAGAAATCGTGTTCGCATTATTAAGTAAAGGTACTGCATATTTCAATAGATGACGCACGAAACTGTAGAAATAACTGTATTTTGTTGAATTGTTAATGTCTTCGTGATCGGCTTTATCAATTCTGTAGTTTTGACAACACCAACATGGATTGAGTGGACATCACAATTATGTGTTTTGAGATACGGCACATTACCTTAAAATTTCGGTTATACCAGGAAGCTGTAATGAATGGAGATACCGTCTCGAAAGAATTGTCCGAGGGAAAAATATTCAAGATTAACCTGGCTTAACAAAAAGAAATGTAACCCTCTCCAGCCATCATTTCCATCAACAGCTGTCCATATCAATGCACAGTCCCTCTCTGGCATTCCAAATAGTACGAAATGTTACGCAACGCCATCTACTCCCCTAAGTTCTCTATTCACTCTTTTGTAAAAAAAAAAATATGCAAGCATCGAGCTTTGAAGCCATGCGTGGCACCGACAATTAAGTCATGTTCAGTGAAGATGTATTTAGCTATAAAATATAAAATACAGAATTCACAACATTTGACCAATGCAACTTTCTATAAGTCATCAAATGCTTTTTCCGTTCTCGGATAGCTCTACTGAAGACATGGCCATTTCAACCAGCGAAATCGACCAAGGAAATCATGAGTTAGAGCGAATGAAAGGTCTTCATCATCATGATTTTCTCATCTAATTATTGACATTTTCCGAAAATTTCCGAAATGTTTACATAGCTAGGAAGGTAGTCCAAAGGTTTATATTCCTAAAGAACTAAATGAAATTGTGTTATATGTTTGCGCATTTATTTATTTAGGGCTAGAAGTTGTCAAGTTATCACCACTATTCACCCCAAGTACGGGCCGGCAAAGCGAAAGCCGCCGTGCTCGCTGGGCTGGGCTGTGTGTGGAAAGGGAGGACTTAGTGCTACTAGGGAGGTGTACGGTTTCGGAGGGGGATTAAGGGGATTACGGTAGGGGAAACAAAAGACGCGCGGTGCCACGGATGACTTCAAATGGGCCTCTTGGACGGGATCTCCATTCATTACAGCTTCCTGGTTATACACTCTTACACAAATTTGTCGGTTGCATTCAATGCGCAATGATCAAAGATTTACTCGAGTTCTAACCTCGAATTAGCATGTTGCTAGTTGTTAGCTCCGTTTACCAAATAATATTCATGTTAAGTTAACAACTAAATTATTCATACCCTTACCAAGTTTTGTGCTAGCATGAGAAAAACCGACTTATCCCGATTCATGTTTCTTTGGAATGTGACATCAAAACAGCAACATTATATTGTATGATTATAAGATAGTTTGAAGTACCAAATACAATTATGGTGAGAATGACTATAGAAGTAAAAAATAAAAACATTAAATGTGAACTAGTAACATTGTGTTTTGAAAGAAAAATCAATTGTGGAAATGTAACTTATATTCATGTTCTAATGAAGGCATCAACCCCTGTGAATACAAAAATTTAAAGAAAATAGATAAACAAATTCTTCAATACAAAGATACGATATGAGGATTCATGGAACCGAAAACTCTAATATGCATTACTGATTGAGGTAGGTATACCTGATAAATAGCTGTTCTGAGCTATACATTTGAATAATAAAGATTTATGTGTGCAGGAGTTCATTGCAATTCTGTAACAGAAAACTGACACCTGTACAACTATTCAGTTCATTGTTTCAGAAATCATGGACAATGTTACCAGTTTGCTTTAAATCAATTCATTGATTTTTATAATCAATCCATTTCATTGCGATTACAACACACAATTACAATTATGAGTGGAGTTTGCTTTGTTTATGATATTTAAAATGTTTAAAATAAAACAGTATAAAAGAGAGATTGAGGTATTGAAACATTGAAGCATTGTCAAAACGATCATGTAATTGATTCTAGTTTCTCAAGCATGCTCTTCAACAACAGTTCTTCAAATTTCTTCACATGTATGTCACCCAAGCAATAGTGGTTGAAGCAGCGAAGATCCTTTATCTAGACTGCGTGAAAGCAAAAGGAAATAAGAGAAAGAACAATCAATAGAAAACCATTATCAGAATTTCAATTATGAAAGGGAAACTTTACAGTGCAATATGATTGGGCGAAATTATTTTGTGTAGTTTTGGTACCAACTTTTAGAGAGGATTAGAGAATTAAATACTTAAGTTGGTATCACCTTAGTATTGGCAATTTTTGTTAAGGATTAAAACAAAAATTAGATGCTGACCTCGATAGGACCACTCATTCCCTTAACTAAGGGACCTAAGCATTAAAAGCAATTAAGAATATCTAAAATTTTAACTATTGGGAAACAATCAAGAAGGAGAGAAGATACCTTTTGACTCGCTCAGAAGCATAGACAATGGGTCATCATCAGAATCGCAATCGGAGCCATCAGGAGACTTTAAGGGTCACCATGCCAAGTCACACATGCAGCTCTGACTGTACGTGTTTGGTGAATTGCTTCAACGGTTCCATACCGCTCCCACTCTTAGGTCACTATGCCAAGTCACATTCTGCAGCTCTGTGTTCAGTGAATTATCAAGGACCCATCTTACCAGCATGTCGGTCCCCGTATCCAATCTAATTTTGTAGAACGAAAGAAATAATTACAAGTTATTTTCTTTCATTTATTTGCAAGCAGAGGTAAGGAAATGAATCCAATATTATCTTTTGTACATCAAATTAATTACTAGGCATAACTGACCCCAAACAGAAGTTTTCAATTGCCCCTATTACCCCAAAATAGAATTTTCCAATTGTCCCTACCAAACACAACCACCCCAATGCACATACGCAGTGAGTGTGCTTAGTACTTTGCTGCTAAAGTGTGATTTTCTTGAACAGATCATGAAACTATTCTCACCTGGATTTTTTTCTGGCCTGTGGCATTCTTGAAAAGTAGATGTACTTTCCCAGTGCTTCCTTCATACAAGTGAAAATTGTATCTACTGCATCTGAAACTAAGTGAAAGCAAAAACATCATCATAATTTCATTACCACTGAAGTGTAGGTAGTGAGACATGTACACTATCTGGTATGGTATGGTGCTTGCTTGGAAAATTCTTTAAACTATGAAGTGGAGTTGGGCAACATTTGCTGGTATCAAGAACAATTGTTTGAACAAATTTTTGTATAGGGTGAGGGACCAAGGGTACTAAAGTGCTGCCTTTGAATATAACAGACACAGAGTACAGATAATGAGAGAAACTAAGCTAAACATGTGGACATTGTTCCCCAAAAGGTAGACCAGGGAGGTGTTTTTAAATCACATACCCTGGGTAGACTACTCATGATTACTTCAGTCTCAAAACAAAAGTATTCCTTTTTCGGATGGTGCCATTTATTCATTTTCAGGGCAGGACCGTATCTAATTTTCAATTTTTAATTAAATGTTCATTCATGTCCTTCTTTGCATAAAAGGCAAATCATTGAATTCCCTTACAGTTAACCAGGAGGGGCTACATCCCAGGTCATCTCAGCTCAGCATGATGATAATTTTCGAAACTCCCTTTGCCCTTGGCAATGTTGATGTTGGCCTTGGGCTTGGAGCCCTGAAGTTTCTTAAACCCCAGGCACGCCTTACAAGAAAGGTCTCAGTCTGTTCTAGACCCTGATCTACTCATCTCTAGATTCTAGATTGATGAGTAGTGGCTGACATAAACTGATAATTATAAAATGATGATCTAGAGTAACTAGATTTCTAGACTCTAAATCAAATTTATAATTAGTTAAGTAGTAAATTACTGAAAAAATAAAAGTAAAACTCTGGTCTCTAGATTCTACTTTCTAACTTTCTGTAAAACTTTGTTCATATTTATAACTTAAGCAGATATAAAAAGAACCTTAGAGATCTCCGGAGAGATCTATAGCATTAATATTTGGTGTGGAGCTAAATAAGAAAGACTGTCCACCTAATTTATTTAGTCTAGATGTATATTTGTTAAGACATAAATTGATCTTTTTAGTTTTGGATCACATGATACTTCACTCCCTTATTCACTTACATGAAAACAAGTATATGGGGCGATATGTGGAACGGCGGTGTATTTTTCACACATTTCTGTGCTCATGGACATATATTTATGGCTTACAAAGAATCAGAATGAATCAAAAGAGTGTACCATATTAATTTACCTAAAAAAAATATTTAAAAACTCACCTTTTCATGGTCTGCGACTGTTCCAAACTGCGAAATTTTCACTACCGTCACTTCGTGAAAACATTAAAAGCAGGAAAAGAGCAAACGATGTTTTCACGAATTGACGGCTGTTAAGCGCGTACTTGGCCGTCACTTCGTGAAAACAGAAAATCCTTTTGCTAGGTATTTTCTTGTTTACGTCATCGTCATAGTGACATAATTAGACATTATTATGATCTGAAATTTTGTGAGGTTCAAGGTATTAGTGAATGATGTCCAAAAATGCAAAAAAAATCAAAAGTGAAAATATGTGCGATTTTCCTCACTACCGTCACTTCGTGAAAACAGGGACGAATTAAGTCATGTTCAGTGAAGATGTATTTAGCTATAAAATATAAAATACAGAATTCACAACATTTGACCAATGCAACTTTCTATTAGTCATCAAATGCTTTTTCCGTTCTCGGATAGCTCTACTGAAGACATGGCCATTTCAACCAGCGAAATCGACCAAGGAAATCATGAGTTAGAGCGAATGAAAGGTCTTCATCATCATGATTTTCTCATCTAATTATTGACATTTTCCGAAAATTTCCGAAATGTTTACATAGCTAGGAAGGTAGTCCAAAGGTTTATAATCCTAAAGAACTAAATGAAATTGTGTTATATGTTTGCGCATTTATTTATTTAGGGCTAGAAGTTGTCAAGTTATCACCACTATTCACCCCAAGTACGGGCCGGCAAAGCGAAAGCCGCCGTGCTCGCTTGGCTGGGCTGTGTGTGGAAAGGGAGGACTTAGTGCTACTAGGGAGGTGTACGGTTTCGGAGGGGGATTAAGGGGATTACGGTAGGGGAAACAAAAGACGCGCGGTGCCACGGATGATTTCAAATGGGCCTCTTGGACGGGATCTCCATTCATTACAGCTTCCTGGTTATACACTCTTACACAAATTTGTCGGTTGCATTCAATGCGCAATGATCAAAGATTTACTCGAGTTCTAACCTCGAATTAGCATGTTGCTAGTTGTTAGCTCCATTTACCAAATAATATTCATGTTAAGTTAACAACTAAATTATTCATACCCTTACCAAGTTTTGTGCTAGCATGAGAAAAACCGACTTATCCCGATTCATGTTTCTTTGGAATGTGACATATTAATGCTTTAATACATCTCTTTCAGTTATAGCTTTTGCTACATCCGCGTCTAGACGTGTACGATGGTTAAAAGTATTCCTACCTGTTTTAAAGCCACTTCGAATAGGATTCATATTGATACTTTATTTTATTTTTTATTTTTGTAAGTACAGTTTTTAAGGAAATTTTGTATCGCCGACTCAGCCGGCCGGTGAATAAGCGGGGGGGGGGGGGGGGGGGGTTAGGGTTAGGGTTTAAACACTGTTGCTCATAAAGTTGGAATATGTTGTTTTACTCCGATTTATGGAATTGTTTTGACAATGATTTATTCCTAAAAGATCTAGATAGTAGTATACAATCTCAGATTTCAATGACTAATAATTTACTACTATGGTTATCAACTAGGGGACCTACGCCCTTAAGTCATAACTGACAGTAATGAGGATTAGTGCCCTACAAAAGGGCACTTATATAGGACATCGACACGGTTTTGATCCTGGGGAATCACAGTTACAAGGCCATTGCTTTGCCCCCGACCCATGACTGTACCCAGCGGGGGCTAGGGTAGGGGGCAGTTCCCCCAAAGAAAAAAAACAAAGAAAATGCAATAAATTATCAATAATTCATTGCATTTCACTTCAGTCACGCAAAACAAGCACTGACAAATTATTATTCAATAAAATCTGAGAATGTATACTATTATCTAGATCTATTTGATATTCATTGTCAAAATAATTCCATAAATTGGGGTAAAACAATTTTTTCCAACTTTATGAGCAACAGTGGATATCCAAAAAAGGTGTTCAAGAAATTTCGACTAAAGTGTTTAAACACATTTCAGACGCCGTAGAGTTGTAGGTGTCGGGAGACTGAGTCATGCACGTCCGTACGCCAGCAGTCGATTTTGCTAATCCTGTTGACAAAAAATATACACCAAATAGCGCGAATTGAGTTAGAAAATTGACTTTTTCTTGTCAACTATAGAGAAATAATGAAGCCAATAAAATGAAAATGTCGACCAATAGCATACATCAAATCGTATGGATCGAGTTTTAAAATTGAAATTTACTTCAAATTTTCCCCTCAGACACCCCCTGTCCGCGCAATCGTTGAACGCGGTGCTGACGTATATGACGAGCGGGACGTGCCATAAATATGAAAACCAAATGATACAACCATACATCCATCGAGTAGATGTACGATTTTAATCAATCAGAATACAGGGAACCGTTTATTCATACAACCATCCGTCCATATATCTATGCAACCGTACAGCTTTAGAACGCATGTAAAGTCGATAAGTTTGCGGGCCAAAATGCCATAATTGCAAACAACTATACATCCATCAAATTACGGTGGATGAAAATTGGAAAGTCAATGGGACATGAGGGTTCCAATGAAAGAGCTAGTGTCAATGACGTCTTTTTTTTTCTTCAACGTTTTTAACGTTTTTTTCCCCCGTAAAAGTCCACAGGCTAACATGTTTGGCTGCTGAACTCTGACGATAGGGGGCGTTGTCCAATGAGAATAATCTATATGATGGTTGTTTGCATTTATGGCACTCCTATGGCGGGCGGAACTTGCCATATTCATGACAACTATAACTATACATCCATTCGATGGATGTATAGTTTTTAACCAATCAGAACGCAGGAAACTGTACGGCTATACAACTATACGACTATACGGCTACGCATCCATCGAACGCATATATAGTTTCCAGCGTGCGGACCAAAGTGCCATAACTATAGAACCATACGACTATTCGACTATACAGCCAGGGGTTTCTCTCTGCTCATGCAAAGAGAAACCACTGATTAGGGGTTTTAACTACTTTACGAGCTGTAGTTTCTCTCTGCGCGAGCAGAGAAAACCCTGATCAGGGGTTGTAACTACTGCACGTGCAGACTTTCTCTCTGCGCGAGCAGAGAAACCCCTGATCGGTGGTTTCTCTGCTCGCGCAGAGAGAAACTACTGCTTGGCTGAATAGTTGTATAGTCGTATGGTTGTATACATGTAGTTGTATAGTTATGGCACTTCGGTCCGCACGCTGGAAACTATTATGCGTTCGATGGATGCATAGCCGTAGAGTTGTATAGTTGTATAGTCGTATAGTTTCTTGCGTTTTGATAGGTTAAAAACTATACATCCATCGAATGGATGTATGGTTGTATAGTTGTCATGAATATGGCACTTTCCGCCCGCACTACACTTCCATACATCCATACGACCATAGCTCACTGGATGTATGGTTGCCATAGACTGTCCATCTTTTATTGTACCCCCCCCCCCCCGACCTTTCAAAAACTCCCTGATCCGCACCTGCTGCTGCCTACTATATGCTGAAAAATTATGTATCATGGAAAGCTACTATTAATAGAGGAAGCTTGTCAAGTGCGCCAAACCTTGAAGTGTCCTTTGTTCCATTGTTTGCTCCATACATTGTGTGAAATATTTTCATTTGATACTCCTTCGTACATAGCACCTACGCCGGCGCGCTGAACATAATTATATATCCACGCAAATCCGTTAACATTAGTTGCTCTGTGAACATGTTGCTCAACATGGCGGTTAAAATAGCACTGGCTGTGGGATTATTCATCGTTATCTATGTGCTACCTGGTAAGTGATAGCGAAGCTTTATTCTCCAAGGTTTGCTTGAAATTAATTTTAGAAATAAAGTATATATACAACTTTATTGCTATATAAATAATTCGTTCGGTTGAAATGTTCTATGAAAAACGAGGCCAAAGACAAAACTGAAAATCTTGCTATGCACTGTACGCTTTGAAATTCAGCAAACCTGGAAGTAGCAAACCCTGTAAGTAGAGGGGGGAGGGGGGGGGGGCAACCCGGCAGTGGTAGATACCAACATTCCCAAGAGGCCGACAAAGTTGGTCTCGCGAACTTTCTAAAAATGTAATTGTCAGAAAGCCCTCGGGACCGACCATGACCAACACGTCGGTCT